ACTAGGATGATTAGGAGAATTGGACAGCTTATGTTACGAGGCAGAAAACAGGGCATGGTGACCCCTTAGAGACTAACTTGTTTGGAGAGGTGTAAGCTTTCACAGGCAACAGTCTACTTCATCAAATTTATCCATTCATAGGCTGTCACCTATGAAAGCTCATGCAAGTCTGGATGAGCTAATCTCTAAGGGGCCACTCAGCCTTGACACACAGCTACGTGCCGCTCTCTCTCTCTGTTCCTAGGGCCTCCTCTTCACATGCAGGTAAAGGAATGATGGGATCCAGTGTGAGATCCACACAGTTGTGCCTCCTGCCACTTCATGCACCCTGAGCCTAGGAGATCATGGCTGCTGCAGTCTCCAAGGCCTGGGGGTTTCACATACCCCTGGGGTAGCCACACCACTTAGCTTCTGGGACCCAGAGTTGGCAGGTGCTGGGGCTGAGAGTCCCCTTAGTTGTGGGAGTCTCAGCTGTGGTTGGGCATGGTGTACTCCTGTGGCTGGGACCCCTGTCAGTTGACAGGGATCCCAGCCATAGGGGAGACCCTGCTACACTTGCAAATTAAAGCTCGATAGCAACCAACTATAAAGTTAGGACACATCTACAAGGTCTAACTTTATAGCTGGATGGACTTTTTATGGCGTGGTAATGGCTTTGCATATGTAGCTGGTTTTAAGATAATTGTGCGATACCTGGAATAGTTAGGGGGCTCTAGATAAGTTTAAAAAGCTTGGCTTGTTTGACCTAGCAAAACAAAGACCAAGAGAAGATATGGTAGAATACTATATATATGCTAGGCAGGGTTAAAAATTAATTTGAAGTACAAAAATATCTAGATGTAAACTAGTTATGAATATATTTTGGCTGGTGATTAGAGGAAGGCTTTTAAGTGTCAGGGGACTGAGACTTTGAAACAGTCTTCCAGAAAGAGTTTGAGAGGGGCAAAATCCAACTTGTTTAAAGAAGTAGCTTGATCAGTTTATGTCTGGAGTTATGAGATGCAGTTGCCTTTGACAACAGGAGGCCATACTCGGTGGTCTTTCCTGATGTTCCTAGTACTTTCTACTTCTCTTTTTCAAAGTAGAAAGAAAATGAATTTAGTATACACGTAGGTGTTCTGTGTACTGTTCATCAGCTGCTGCAGTCCACCCCAGCTATGGCAACATTATCTAGTTGTAGATAATGGCATAGTCCACATTCTGTTCTTATTATTTTGTGAACGAAGTGAATTTGAGTACACAAATGCTTTTACTCTTTCTCTGTATATTTTATTTAGTTAGTCTATAAGGTCTAATCTACTCTGCCTTATTCCTTATTCACCTCAGGGAAGTGTTATGAGGCTGAACTGGTTTGTGCCTAAAAAGTGCATTGAGATTTTCACAAGATGTAGGAGAATATTTATGTAATCTGGCAGCATCCAGGAAGATCATTGTTAGGTATTGATTTAAAATTATCAAGCCCACCTATTTATTGTATTTCAGGAAATCTAATCTTTTGTAGCTGTGCAATGTCAGTGTAAAAATCTACCAAAATGGAAAGAAACCACTTTCCATTCACTATGCACAACTGGAAGTCACCATGTAAGATGGCAGACAGTGAATAGCATAAGAACATTCATTCTGATTGGGAGCTATGAGACTGGGGTGGCATGGGCACTAAGGTGCGCAGTTGACAATCCAGAAGTCACAAGTTTGAGGCCATAGCAGAAGTGTTCAAAGTGCAGCCCTGTCAGATTCTGACACACCTGCAAATTCTGCTAAATACCTTGTCACCTGAGGACACGAAAAAGGAAGGAAGGTTGGAAGCTGCTTCTCATCTTGTTGGCTGGGCAAAGAGGAAAGCATCTGAACCAGCTGATTATAGTTTCATTGCACAGGTTGTGGAAATTGTATCAGTGTGGTGTGGATTTGGATATCCCATAGGGCTTTAAGTAGCTTATACGACAAACACTTCTCCAATATTGCTTAATTAATATAGGGTCTGGTTGTAAGTGAAGAAAAATTCTCTGGAGAATTTTTCACATCCTGAAAAATATCTGTCTCAATTCTTTTGAGGTGCTGTGTTCCAGAAAGAGAGAGAGAAAGAGATTGAAGCACTTCTGTCTAAGGAAATTTCCCAGTACTTGTTTGGCCAATACAGTACTTATATTAACCTCCTGGTTTTTTGTTTGCTCTCTCAGTTTTGTGGCATCTGCCAATTTTTATTTCCTCTGTAGACCATGGAGTCTTGAAAGCCATGTTTGGCAGCTGCATATCTGCCCCAGTCTGTGTGAGGTGCTCCGAGCACACTATCAGGAAAAGAAAGCATTATGTCCTTGATTAAATTATGGTCTCTTGTTTTGTCCAGGTGTCTTAAATATGATCCCTTTTCTCTTCAGTACTAACTAATCTTCCTATTTCTTGTTGTAATCTTGTTGCTTCACATTCCCTCCTCTAGACTATTGATGTTTAATTGGAACAAGATTAAACTTAACACAGTCCCTGTGGTGATGTGCACCAGATCAAAGTTCTGAAATGGTGAATGAGTACATATGATCTTGTTCTTAATTAAAGCAGTTAGCTTCTCCTGCTGATTTGCAATGAAAATTTAATGTGTGAGCACTTGGATCAATTTAGTTTCATTATGGCAATGCATTTTCAGTGCTAGAGTAGAGGCCATGTCAGTATTTCCATTATAAACTCCTATTTTATAACTGTACAATTAGTATTCTAGTCTTTAGGGGCTTAAAACCTGGCTGTAAAAGTTTATGCAGGGTTGAAACTTAACACATGAATTTTCAACCACGAAAAAAGATGTGTGTGGGGAGAGGGAGGGAAGGAGGTTTGTGTGATTTTTGGAATAAAATATGTTTGTAGATGCATTAGAGCAGTGGCCTCAAGGCACCCTTCCATCATTTTTGTAAACTGAGCAGCACCCTATTTCAGATACGAATGTATTTATTACAGTATTTGCCTCCTTGCAGAGAGTCCAGGCAGTGAGGGCAGGGGAACAGCCAGGCAGGGAGAGGTTGAGCCTGCTCTGTATCTGCTTGTCTACTCATCCCTCACTTATCTCTTCATGCTTCCTGTGGTACCCTTCAAAGGATCCTGTGGCACCCCAGGGTGGCCCATCACCCTGGATGAGAATCACTTGCATTACAGGTTGGAAGGGAGAAGAAAATGTAAGCTTTTACGTGTACCCTGATTTGGACTCCAATTTTCAAAATATTTAAATAAAATTAACGAACTTGCACCATTGAACAATATGTATTTTCCTAGTAGTATAAGTAGGGGTGGCAAGACAGGCGTCTGCCACAGGTGCCAAGTTAGCAGCGGTGCCAGAATTACCTCCTTTCACCACAGAATCTGCACCCTGGCAGAATTATCTTATAGAAACACTCAAAATATCCCTCCCCCCCCCCCCT